CATTACTCTCTTGGAAATTTCAGCCACTCAGTATTTTACTAATTTTCTAAGCCATCTGCCCACACCAGGGTACATTCCTGTCTCATCAATGCCACTCTGCATGCAAATGGCTTTTATTCCACCTTATTCTTCAGATTCGACTCCATCTATGTTCCAGAGCACCTCTGCCAGTGGCTGAAGCATAAGAGATTTCCCTGTAGGTTGTTTGCTCTTGTGTACCCTCGTCTTCCAGTTCAACGTCTATCACAGGACATCAGTTACATGCAGAGCCTCACCCTCCTAAGTACCTAAGTTTGGCCAGAGAAAGCAGCACTTATACTGCTTCTACTTCTGGTTGCTGAACATAGAATTTTTGGACAAATTAGGGAGTTCAAGTATCTTTAAATCTTTGTTTAAATATTCATTACAGTTTAAAAATCTAATGTTAGTACTAATATCAAACATTAAAAATTTATCTGCAGTGACACAGGAGGAGTGACAATGAAGTTTTGGGATCTTCTAATGAATAAATTATGATGAAAACTTATTTTAACTGATGGTGTGCACTTACACTACATGGTGGTGGTCTGCATTTTCATCACTTCTCACCAGCGGTGTGCGTGCTTACGATATGCACAGTCCATTCAGACACGCACATCACTCCACAGGGATTCAAACTCTTAAAGGGAATGTCCTGACACTGTAAGACATTTTACAGGATCCCTGGAGCATACTTTCATTTTTCCCAGCAGTCTTTAAAACTTAGTAACATTGCAAGGCATGGCCCTAGTTGTGTAGCAAAACGCAATCTTTGAGGTCGTTTTTCAAAGAACATCATTTCAAAAGGGTCTAAGTATGAGCAAACAACGCACATCTGGTCAGTGTGGTCTGGTAACAGCAGACAAGAGGCAGCACAACCAGGTGAGTACAACTGATCTACAGGTGAAATAGCATCAAGAATTTAAGAAAGAAAGTATTCATGACTCATTCCCAAGTTTCAAAATCATAAATATTTCTAAGCAATGCTTAATTGTAAAATGTGAAAGAAAAACTTTTGATGTATTTGCTTACTCTATCTACATGATGTCCATCACTCCCACTTATACACATATACACTTCACATACTATGCTATGTAGTATATTATGCAAAATTATAATACACACAAATGCCAGCCCTTTAGATTGCATATGAACAACATATGCAATATAAGAAATTATCCTCGACACTATGTGAGTAGAAATATTTCCTTACATAAAGTTGCAAAGTGATTCATGCTGTTAACATCAATGTTAGGGGAAAAAAAGTAATGAAACTACTTTGAATTACCAAGGAAGAGTTTTCCTATTGTGATGAGGCCTGACTGACATCAGCCATTAAAGAACCAAATGACACTGCCTTTGGTAAAATAAATAAACAAAAATCTTATGCTCAAGTCTAGAAACAAGGAATGAAGCCAAATTTGCAATAGACTAATAAATCATACTGTAAAAATTGTATAATATGTATATCACTTTACCTCCACTCTAGATCAGTGCACAGAGTTTAGATTGTCCAATTTTCTTCATATGATGTCACACGATATGAAATAAATCTGTTGTGTTATATAGGCAAATCATAATAAATCTCAACTATTAGAGCAGGGTACACCAGCT